TCTTTATTCTTCCCATCCTTCCTATGTTCTTGAGATTTGTCCTTCTCCTCAAACTTGGAAGAGTTGTAGCCACCTTTCTTCTTCTTGTTCTTCCACTTTGGACAATGAAAGCTCAAATGCCCTCTATCACCACATGTGTAACAATTTCGAGATTCTTTGACCCTTCATGACCCACTCCCTCTATATATCTTCTTTTAGTGAATAGAAGTCATAGGTGCTTCCTTGTCTTCCCTCTCAAACCTTGTAGTAAAGGTGACCACCTTGTTATAGGTGTAATCCCAAGTCAGTTGCTCTTCACGAAGAGCATCAAATGAGAGCATAAGGGGCTCAAACTTCTCAGGTAAACTACTCAACAAATGTGCAACCTTGAAATGAGGGTGAATGATTGTCCATGAGTCACCAATCCTAGAAAAACATCAATTCAACTTGGCCATATGTGCAATCACATTGCCAACATCTTCATCTTCAAGCTTCAAAGTAATCATCTCTTCCCATCTTAGTCTAGCATCAGCAAAGATACCAATCTTAGTTTGGCCCAAATGTCCCAAACATATGGGATATCTGCCACCAGGTCCTTGTTGAACTGATCCAAGAGTCTTCCTCAACAACCTCTTGGTCACCATGTGATGTAATGTACACATCTCATCTTCAAAACACTACTCAATGTCTTCAAGTTCTTGACAAAACTTCGGGTAGCCATAGAGCCTCAAAACCACCTCAACCTCAAGTGCTCATTCTTTGTAATTCATAGTGTTAAGCTTCATCATCCTATCAAGCTCACCAGCCCATTATGGGCCCATAACCTTTTGATATTCTGAACTATGTTACAGTATTTCATTAGGAGTTCTCCTAGATGTATCACCATCAGTGCATGACCTCTCTATTGACTCTCCTGGAGTAGCCATAGCTTGCTACCATTCTCCCTTACCCTGAGGTGGGCTATGAGTTGCTACCATTCTCCCTTACCCTGAGGTGAGCTTTGAGAAGCAACAATGAGATCAAACTCTAGATAGCACTCTCCACTCCTGAATTGAGACCAACCCGAACTTCAAATAGAGTGCTAACTCCACCCCCACTTCTCAGCACTCAACGTGTGATCAATACCTGAAATGATAACTGGTAAAGTGAACACTCTGACCTCATTGCTTTACTAACAAAACTTCAATAAATACACCTCTCAGGCTAACCCTTCAGCCATGGTGGTTGGAGACTCTTAGCTACAAAGGTAACCATATTAGTAACTAAAAGTAAATTTCTATTTACTTTTAGTCCAATTCCGGGTTACTAATATGGCTTGTCTATGAGATTAATTGACAACAAACCATATTAACCTTACTCACACAGTTTGCAGGTTTCTGTAAACTCATACTCTACCCCAAGCAAAAAGAGGTCAGAAAAGGTTGCAGGAAGCTGTTCACTTGGGATGGTCGCTGGCGCAGAGCGGGAAATGTTCGCTACTCAGTCGCCCGCCTCACGCGGTGCCATCCTCATGATCTCCACAGACTCTTCATGCTTCCGCGGAGGAGCCCCGATCAGAGACTCCACTCCTCAAGTGGACGTGCCTTCAACAGGATCCCACCGGTCCTCCGTAAGAGATCCCACTCCCACTACCTTACTCCCGCTCGGATTAAAGGCAGCCGCTACACAACCCTCATGTCCGGTGTCCACTCAAAAGCAGCTCGTGTAGTCTGTGTATGAAAATATACTTGTCTTAAATTTTTTCATATGCTGCTGTAGCACGTCTCTGTGGCCTTGTTCGAATCGCTGTTCATTAATCGTACTGGAAAACGTTTTCTCGTAGAAAGTGTTAAGGTCGTAAAATTCTGCCTTCCCGTGGATCAAGTAGAGCCCAGAATAAAAGTTGATCAAGATTTTGGAATCATGAAGGTACAAATGGCCAGTGTTGTTGTCCTTGACATTGGGTTAAAACAAATCTCAAATTTTTCGTGGACAAAGAAGAAAACAAACTGCGCTTTATTGAACTCTAATCGCGATTCTGGTCCCCGATGTATATATTCGTGATAAACCTGGCAATGTTTATCACAATCTTCGCAGGGATCCTCTCGATGGGCTGGCTGTACTTGATCCACAGGCTTTCATGGAGTAGTCTCTTGTTCTGTCCCAGCAAAACATTTCCCAAGACTCTTCTCGTCTCCATAGAAGAGTCCAAACGAATTCCACATGTCCCTGGCGAACATCTCTGCTCAGACAGTAAATCTATGCCTCCGATTGTCGACGCTAGACCATCATGAATTCCAGCAATCTTCAAAGCCAAATCTCACCATATAGTCTTCAAACATAAATATAGCAGGTTTCCGTAAACTCATAATCGACCGCGAATAAAAAGAGTTCAGAGAGAGGTCGCAGGAAGCTGCTCACATGGGATGATCGCTGGCAAGCATTCAAGCATGCTGTCCCTTGACTGCGCAGAGCGAGAAGTTATCGCTGCTCGGTCACCCGCCTCACGCTGTGCCTTCCACATTATCTCCCCAGACCTTACTCGCTTCCGCGGAAGAGCCCAGATCAGAGACTCCACGCTTCAAGTGGACGTGCCTTCAACATGATCCCTGCGGTCCTCTGCAAGAGCCCCAGCTTCCATCTCTCCTACTCCCGCTCGGGTTACAGGCAGCCGCTATGCCGCCCAGATGTTAGATGTGCAAGCAAAAGCATCTCTTATTGTCTCTGTATGAAACCTTACGTGCCTTATAGTTTATCTGTCAGTATTGTACGTCAATGTGGCAATGTTCAGAGAGCTGTTCATAAGTTGTACTGCATATTCTTATTCGTAGATTGTGTTTAGATCTATCCATATAGTTAATGCCTTTCCGTGGATCAAATACAGCACAAACTAATAGCTGAACAAGGCTTCTTGAGACCGAGAGATATTATTTGTCTTCCCTTACAATGTCATCGAGTTGGAAATAAATTTGTAAGATTTTGTAAGAAAAAGGAAGAAGAAATTGCACTTTAAAATGAACTCCTATCGCTAGATAGGTCATCTCTGTTCGTATTCGTGATAAATCCAGCAACGTTAGTTTCATTCTTTGCAAGAGTGCTCTCAGCGAAACCTTGCCACCAGTGATCACCCATGATCACATCCACGAGTCCATGGATCAGACAACAGTAGAGTGCTGAGAGCTGTAACAGTTGTGAAATTTGGCCCATATAAAGTGTCACGAGATAAGTGTTTGAATAATCATAGGGCAACATTCAAGCTGCCATTCGTCAGGTTTGGATCATGCTATGTCCATCAAATCATCTTCCGAGCTTCTTCTCATCTCCATGAAAGACTCGGAACCGCTCCCACATGTCCTTGAGAGAACTTCTGCTCCAGAAGTAACATCAGGCTCCAGCATCATCAATCAGCAATGCTCAAACCCAAGTCTCACCAAACAATCTTCTCATCAGATCTGCAGGTTTTTAAGACTTAGTATTCATTATGGACCCAAAAGATGAGGCAGAGAGAGGTCGGAGGAAGCTGCTCATGGAGGATGATCATTGACAAGCATTCAAGCACGCTGTCCCTCGACTGCGCCGAGCGTGAAGTTATCGCTGCTCGGTCACCCGCCTCACGCTGTGCCTTCCACATTATCTCCCCAGACCCTTCTCGCTTCCGCGGAAGAGCCCAGATCAGAGACTCCACGCTTCAAGTGGACGTGCCTTCAACATGGTCCCAACGTTCCTCTACAAGAGCTCCAGCTCCCATCTCTCCTACTCCCGCTCGGGTTACAGGCAGCCGCTACACCGCCCAGATGCTAGATGTCCGTGCAAAACTAGCTGATCTAGTCTGTGTATGAAACTTTACTTGTCTTATAGTTTCTCGTTCGGTGTTGTAGCACTCAATGTGGCTATGTTCAGAGCGCTGTTCATTGAATGTAATGCGAAATTATTCCTTACGTTATGTTTAGATTTTCAATACAAACTAAATATTCTATACTTGATGTTTGTTTGTTTACTCTGGATGTTTGACCACGCCACCTTGCAGCGAAAATGTAACTTGGACAGTCATGCTAAACAAGGTGAGATTTTATTCCACATTCATATGTGCACCTCTACAAGAGCTGCAATCAACGACTCATTGTGTTCGTTCATAAGTCATTGAGCGTAATTGAGGGATTAGAATTACTTGGAATAAAACTTTGTTTAATATCAACAACATGGTTAAAAATCTAGTATACAGTCCAGCTACGTCTATTTACTTGACTTCAGTTAAGAATATCGAACATTTGTCAAAATGAATCTGAACAACATCTGTGAACTTGGTATATTACTACATGATTTTAGCGTGCTCTCATCAGGCTAAGATGATTTTCCTTTGTTATCATGCTTTTGTAACAAGATCAGCAAGCTTGTTCAGACGAGGTGAAGACCAGACGAAGTAGATTGTACTGATAGCTGAAACTAAGTTGATTACTTGATTGGATGTTTAGAATTTGAAGATCTCATCACGACAATTTCAGACTTATCAGTTGGTTCTAAAGGGCAGTTTCCTAATCGATAATAATAATATGTATTGTTGTCCTTAAGTTTGAACTGATTCAGCTTTCAAAGCTTTCGTGGAGAAAAAGGAAATTGCACGATATGAAACTCAGATCTCAATGTTGATCCTTTCCGTTCGAATTTCTCAATTTCATTCTTTGCTAGGGTGTACTCGAGGAAATTTTGTGCGAGCAATGATCACATCCAATTGTCCAGGCAGGGACCAGACACCAACAGAGGGCAAAGTGCTGTTGTGAAATTTGGCTCATTTGCCCGATCACTGTCATCGAACGGAAATAAAGCAGAAAACTGTCTGAATGGTCACAGGGGAAGAACGAAGCATTCTTTCAACGAGTTTGCCTCGTCCTGTGTCCACCAAATGATCTCCCAAACTGTTCTCATCTCCATGAAAGAATCCGAACTACCCCCACATGTCTTCGAAGAGCATCTCTGCTCAGACAGTAATTCTATGACTCTCCAACCAAATTGGATTTGTTGGAGAGCCGAGAGTTTCGGTCCCGTGGCACGTGGCCGAGTGGTTAAAACCGTGACTGCAAATCTGCTGAAGGTTTCCACGCAGGTTCGAATCCTGCCTCTCCCAAGTATTTTCAAATAGAGGCGAAGCACATAATTTTGTCATTTACCGGTCTTTCGTTTAACAGGGACGTAATACTTGTGATCATCTGCAAAGCAAGCAGAAGGCGCGAGAGACAATGTAATGAGGAAATGAAATGTGCTAAAATTTGTGAATTTTACTAACATGAGGTTATCTCCTTTGTCACCATGTGGATTGTTGACGAGAGGTCTATCCGAGATTAAAGTGCTTAACGTGCTGCAGAATTTACGAAACAGGTTCCACTTCTTTCTAGGTTTGAAACTTGATTTCCCTTACTGTGGCACTGTGCAATTGTTTCTTGCTTTTTGGCTTTGTGCAACTTGCAATATGCTGGCAAAATTAGAGATCAAGAAAGTCAAGCAATCATAGAGAAGTCAAAGAGAACAAAAGCTTTTGAAGCTCTCAGAAATTCGAAAGCAAAAATCAAAATATGTAATGACAATGCTGTCTACGTTTGCACAAGGTGCCAAATTACAATCTAGAATGACTAGAAAATTTGCAAAATGAGGAACCAAATCTCGCACATTTAAATTTTCCAAACCAATTTTGAACCCTAGTGAGTTTGCAAAGGTTTGTGAAGAGATTCGAAACCGCAGAGCCAAAAGTGCAAGTTTGATAACACAAGAGTCATGAGTTGGGAGAAGTTGGGAATTTTGAATGGAGGGTGCAAGTCGGGGAGCAAGAGTTATGAGAGATGTTCCATGTGGAAACTCATGCGAAATTGCACCATGTGTTAGTTTATGGTAAACTTGGGAAAAATGTAGAGTAAAACAAATGTCATGACTCCTGAAGATCGTAGGAAAAATCTTTTGAAATCACATGAGTGCATGAACAATCTCTAAGAAATAGTATTCTGACTCAGCTGTTGCATGAGCTTGACTTGTGGAAGCCAAAAATATTCAATGCAGAGTTTATCAATTTTCAAGAATGAAATAATCTACCTAATTAACGGTTTTGACAATTATCCCTTGGCAACCACAACACGTTAACATCATGTGCAAAGAATTATATTTGCAAGACTATCTAGATTTTGAGATAAAATGGAAGCTCAGAAAAATTTCAGGTTGTGCAAGATGTGTTTCACAAATTATATGCTACCAATCAATAATCCCACTAAATTGAAAAACATTTAAATCATTTTAGATGATTAAAAGTTCTCAAAGACGTAAAAATCTTAGTTTTTAAAGATAAGCATTAAATTGAAATCTTCTCGACAAACCTTTATTGTATTTTTTGACATGTGGACATAAATACAAAAATCCAATAGTCAGATTTGATTTTAAATAAAGAATGAATTTAGGAAAAGCAAAAAATTATAAAAATATTTATGAAATAAAAATAAATAAAAGGTTTAAAATTTGAAAAAATAATTAATGGATAATTAAGTTTAATTATACCTTTATAATCACTTTTCATGAAAAAAAATGTTTCAAAAATATAACTCACATATTTCAAAATTTTTAGCATTTTTTTGAGATTTATGATATTATGTTGAAATTTATGATATTATTTTGAGATCATATATTGTATGAAATCAAAAAATTTAAAAATTTAAAATAAATATTTTTTATTTTTTGAAGTAAAATTTAAACAATATGAGGGGAAAAAATTTTCAAAAAAAATCAAAATATGATGTTTACTTAAACAAACATATTTTTTGGATATAATTTTAGCTTGTTTTGATGGAAAACAATGTGGAAATTAGTGAAGGGATCTTCAACCTCAAGACATATGATTTGCAAAAAAAATTAATGATTTTTTATTAAAGAATCAATTAAGAGTTTTTTTTTATGTATTTTGATTGCTCAACATAATTTTTCTATTATTTGAAGCCTATATTTGATTAAAATATTAAAATAATATATAATTAATTGACTCAAATTTTTTTACTTTTTTTAATTAAAATATATTAATTATTCATAAATATTAATTAAACTGATTATATATATTATCGAAATTCTTGAAATCTTAATTACATGCCCTGCAAGTGACCTTGATATAAAAAAATGGCAGAAATTATTTTGAAATGCAAAAATGAGTCATTTATGGAAAATTAGATCTTACCCTTTTGTATAATGTATGTAATAAACTGTATGTAATTAAAAATTCCATTTAATGGTTTATTGTATATTTATGAGATTAGTGGATGAAAAAGATGATTTTTGAATGATGGTTTTTGAAAATTTTTTTCTGATATTTGTATTATTTAGAAGTAAAATAGTGAAAAATTTCACAAGAGATTTTTATAGATTTATTTTTTTAATTATACATTCTTGTTGTATTTTTATTTTAAACGGAAAATTTTGAATTTTGTTGACATAAAATATATTTGGAAGAAGAGTTCAATATATGTTTTGGAGTAAAAATTCATGGCTATAATAATAAAAATAAAAATAACAGTATTTAAAATATTTAAACTATTTTCTACTTGTTTATGGTTTTTTACATGTGCATATAGGTGACATAGATAATTTCAGATTGGCATCAACAACATAAAATATTGAGTTTAAAAATTTCATGTAATATATAAGTATTGATCATTAATGTTCAAATTTATTTTATTTTATCGTTGTTGATAAAAAAATTTTTTTAAAAAAAATCACTGTAAATTACTTGTATTTTGATTTAATTTGAAAAATAATACATGGATATACATATTTAAAACATTTTATTTCATGAAATATGATAACATGATTTCCAAATAATCTACAATGTCTTGTATTTTTGTATTTTTTTAAGGAAAAAATCAATTTTTTAGTGAAAATTTTAAATTTTCAAAGAATTTAAAAAAAATATGAAACTAATCATACTGAATTATGTACAACCATCTAAATAGTGCACTAGATTCACTTGTCACCAAAAAAAATATTATGATACATACAAATAAAAACATGCATTTTGATATTTTTTTAATCGTTATTCAACTTTTTAAGTTATTTTTTTAATATAAATATTTTTATGAATTATAATTTTTTAAATATTTATATTATATATTTAAAGTCATAATTTTTTGATTTTTTTTACGTTAAGTGAATTTAAATTATATCCAAAAGCTATGAAACAAGTGAAGAGTTGAAGACATATATTGGAGTAAAAATTCATAACTATAATAATATAGAAATAAAAGAATGAGAACGCTTTTAAAAGTGTAAAAATCATTTTTTGCATGTAAGGTATTTCTGACATGTATATAGGTGAGATTGATAATTTCTAATCTTGCATCGAGAGCAAAACGTGTTGATATTGTCTCATGTATAATTCTAAACGTTGAAAGAATTAATATTTTTTTTAAAATCAAAATTTGTAAATTTATGTACTTAAACTATGTACAATCATTTGGGTAGTACATCAGGTTCATTTATCACAAAAAAATTTATCCCACATTAGGTCCCCACGTACTATCTTGAATGAAACAATCCATGATATATTTAATTCATTATTTAAAATTTCATAAATAAAGAGTTGTTGTTATTGCTCATGATCCATGATTCACAACTGTAAATATTTCATGTGATGATGACACACTTCCACATGACCTTTATATTCTTTTCTAACTTTTGATTCACATTGTGATTTTTCAGCTGTTTCACAAAAGTCATACAAGCAAATGGATGGTAGTATGATCTCAAATGAAACAATTCATGAAATCTTTAAATCATCATTTTAAAATTCATAAATAAAGTATTGTGGCTGTGAATATTCATATAAATTGATAAAAATATATTATTTTTGTATTTCAATACAATTCATATATTTTTCCATGGATTTTATCAAAAAAAAATATTTTTTCAAATATATACTCAACTAATGAGCATTTTAATAAAATATACAAGGTATTCCAACCAACCATAACTTATGCTCGGATCCGTTGAGCCTTGTGTTACCCATGATCCATGATTCACAAGGTCATGGTGACATAATTTCATATGATCTTCATAGCCATGCACCCGCACCAAAATATTAAAATTTTTGTTTGTTAGATTGTTGCCAATTTATGCATGATTCAAGATTTAAAACTAACTATATTTTGAAAGGAAATTTTCACAATTTTATATATTATCAAGGCTTGTTAGCCAACTCGTTTTCTGTCCATGCAAGCCAAAGTGGATTTTTTATTTTGAAAAATATACACGACTATTTTGATAATTCAAATGACTTATTTAATATCATGTAATAAAGCTATCACACATCAAAAATCTAGAGTTTAATATCAATTATGAAAAGACATCTACCACATTAGGATATTCTACTAATGCATTGTACATAACTATTTTTGTATTTATGCAACCTTAAAGTCAATTTTATCTTTTGGGATCAGGTGTAATACTATTTTGTATTTTAGTGATTTAAAGATAAATCTACAATTGACTCAATTAACTATGGCTAATCAAGATTGTTTGGACATATCATACATCTTTCATTGGCAATTGTAACACAAAGGGTAATGATGTTGTAAGGTATTCTCAAGATGAGATGGCTTTTCAAGACCTCTCCTTGCTTTATATACTAGATAATAATAAAGAGTTCAGATCCATGTTAGTCAAATGTCACATGACTATAATGCATAGGTCACATGCATCACTTTCTTATCCTAGTCAATCTCTAAAAGACACTAAGCACATTAATCTATTTCACCAATGCATGATAGTCAAAGTTACCTTTTGCTTTTTTGATCATGTGCATCATTATTTTATCATTTAATGATTTAGTGACAAATACATAATATCACTAAACTAAATATGACTAACCGAGATTGGTAATAAAAGTTAAAAACATGCATGTAACCAAGCTAATAGTGACCATAAACTTGTAAAAGAAATGTGGAAGACAACCTCTTTTGCACGAATGCAAAACCCTCTTTAGAAAAAGATGAATAACTCTCAAAGACAAAGATTTTATTGATTGTCAAAACTAGAAGGTTGGGATGGAAACAATGCTTCCCATTGGAATACACATTATACTTCTTACTTCTATCTTCTTTTTTT